TGTCCGTGGGCGGTGGAGTAAGAGAGGTAGACAATGTGGGAGGTGGGGGGAGAGATGGGTTGTGGTATGGGGACAGGGGACCACCGGTGAGAGGGAGGGGACCGCAATAGCGGAGTGGGTAGTCGTGGGTCGGCTCGCCCCGTGACCAGCGGGTCGAGCGTGAGATGGTGGCCGACTCCGATCGAGGGGAGACGAGTCGTTTGGGTCCAGGGTGCCCGACGGGAGGAGGCAGGGAAGTAGGGGGGGTAGGGGAATCCTATTCCCTATAAAAAAAACCTAAGAAAACCCTAATCGGGGTTCGGGTGGTTAGGAAAGGGTAGCGACAACTTATTCAAGAAAAAATAATAATAACCATGGAGGGAAAGGGCAGAGAAAAAAAAATAAACAGTGAAATTTCGAGATAAAAATAAAAGAAAATAAATAATAAAATGAAAGAAAGAAAAGAAATAAGCAAAATGTGAAGACAGAAGTAATATTTATTTATTTATTTTGTTATTTTCGACAGCATTTCCCTACCCCCCAAGGGGTCAAGAATGTGCCAAGAGGACGGAGAAACCAAGATGAGCACACTAAAGTTCGAAATGCCGCAAATTATAAATTTCAAAAAAGAAATAAAGAAATATTAAATAAATAAATAAATAAATAAGTAAAATTTTTGGCAGCATTTCGTTACCCCCATGGGGTCAAAGTGTGTCGTCAAGAAGAAAGACAGTAAAATTAGAAAATTTTGTCAGCACTTCGCTACCCGCAAGGGGTCAAAATGTGCTGAAAAGACTAAGTAAAAGAAAAAAGAAAATTTTGGCAGCACTTCCTTACCCCCACGGGGTTAGAATGTGTGCCGAAAGCAAGAATGACTAACTCCTAATCAGCTTTGAGGGTGCCGCAAAGAAATTCGAATTTTCAAAATAAATAAAAAATAAAATAAAATAAATTAAAAAATGAAAAAAGAAGGTGGGGAATAAATTAATTTAATTTTTTGGAGGAAAAAAAAAGATTTAAATCGAAGAGAAAGAGAAAAGAAGAAAAAACAGAAAAAACTTAAAAGTTGGGGGGAGGGGGATGAAAAAGTGAAGGAGAAAAAAGAGAAATAGGTGAGAGAGAAAAAAAGAGTGAAGGGGGAGATGGGGGAAGTGATGGGGTTGTAGTTAGGGGAGAGAAGGGGGTAGAGGAGAATGAGAGAATGGGAGAGATAGGGATGGGAAAGGTGAGGAGGGGTAGGAAAGATTCGTAGAAGATGGTGAGTGGGAAGGAGAGGAAAGAAAAAGGTTGTGGAAGATGAGAAAAGAGGGAGGTAGGAGGAGAGAGTATTGGTAGGGTTGGAAAGAATGATTAGATGATGAGGGGGAAAGAGAAAAGAGGTTGGGAGAGAGTGGGTTAGTGGTAGGATGGTGATACCAAGCTCTTGGGTGGCCAAGAGCAGAGCACTACCAAGATCCAGGCCTTCAAGATGTTGCTGGTCAGATGCCACTGCAATAAAAAAATATGGGGTGGGCTGAGATCTTGATCAGTCGCCCAGATATCACTGTATTGCATCCCCCTAGCCAAGGGGGTCTTCAAGATCCACAACAAGCTGCCACGTGGCACTGCAGAGAGGCAGCACGTGCCAGCCACGTGTGCAGGCGGCAGCACACACCACCCGAGGGGGGGGGGGGGGGGGGGGGGGTCCAAATAGTTGCCTTCCAGCACGCTGCTCGCCGCTCACCGACGGGGGGAGGGGGGAGGGGCAAATAGCTGTTGTGCCACCTTTTCAACAACAGCAAGCCACAGCATCAGCTCATACTGTGGCTTTGGCCAGTGTGTTAAGGCACTGGCCACACACCCGCATGAGCAACAGCTGGCCAAGTTCAAACCCTGGCAGCTGCAACATCCTAGATCTTGATAAAAGTAATTCGGGAGCGGGGTGGGGCGGTGCAGCACGCCAGTATGGGCGAGTGGCGCGCGCGCGTGTGCGGCGGCCTTGGCTTTGCCGTGATGGCAGCTCCCTTTTTGGCCACGTGTCCGCCTCTTCACGCTACCGTGACGCCAGCTCCCTTTTTCTCCACGTGTCCGCCTCTACACGCTACCGTTTTTTTCATTGTTCCCACCCTGCAAAACGCTGAAAATCCTGCTATACAAGTTACGGGAGGGTGAGCGGGTTGGAGCGGGCACCGTTCCTGCTCTGATACCAATGTACCGGACCCGTCGGGATGGCAGTCCGTCAGGATGGAGAAAAAGGGTTAACGAAGGAGAAGGTAGAGATGGAGCTGGAAGGGACAGCGCACCTCCGACGCAGACTCAACACGCACGTACTCCAAGATGTGCAAAAGTGAAGAGTCTTGAAAAACAGACAACAGTTGGGGTATACCCCCAGCGGACTGACTAGACTGGACTGGATTGGAATAGTACACGGCCTGTGGGATCAGGCCACGACCTGGTCCCACAGGTCGAACTAGCAAATAGTCGAATAGGCCCTGGCTGTAGGCCAGGGCAGATGGAGGCCCGCTGCACCTACCCTCACAGGTAGCTGAGCCTTCGGGCGCACCCCCTTCTCCCTCTACGCTTCCATCCATGCAAGCTCGCTTTCCCTGCCCTGCACCCCCTCCACCTCCATCATACCTCCTTCCTACTCCCTCGGCTGCTGGCTGAGCGACCTATTCTACCGCAGCTCCCTCGCAGCCTACCACTGTTGCCCCCGCCGCTCCACCATGTGGCCCGGGCATACAGTCAGGTACGCCCCCTTCTCGAGGACCTACGCTGACTTACTCGGCTGTAGCACAGGCCTCTGCTCCTCGATCTCCTCGCCGCCAAAACGGTGGCGCACCACTCGTTCGCTTGACGGGCATTGCCTTGTATGACGATACAGGGATATGTGTGTCTCGGTGGCTGCAATCTGCAACCTACACACTCCAGCTCATGGGCGTCCCACCCGACACGTGGGTGGCTCACCTCTCCACGCGCCTGCGCGGAGGTCATTTCGACGCCTGGGAGGATTTCTACACTCACTCCCTTCGTGAGGGTCAGACCCCGATCTTCATGGTTTTGCAGGCGTTCCTCGAGGATCGCTTCGGAGCCTGACATGACGTGACTGACGCCCTCGAGCGTGTCGTCACTACACGCTGGTCTGGCTCTGGTGGCGCTGCCGGCCTGGACCGCCACATCAAGGTCTTTTAGGACGCCCGCCTCATTTGTGATGTGGCGTTCCTCCCCGAGGCTGCCCTTATTGATCGCTTCTTGGCCAGCCTTCCCTTAAGTACCGCCTTGAGTTATGGCGGTATGACTTCACATCGGCCCCCGCAGGCCGATGGGGCCGTCAGGGCTCAGGGAGTGGATGCGGACTCGTCTTCAACCCTCTTCCTGCTCCCTGCCCCAAAGTACTGGCTACGATCCCTCCTCCTCTTACGACACTTCCCAACGCTGTTCTCCTTTCCACGGTCATCCCCGCCGTTCCGCGAAGCAGGGCCGCCACTTCTCGTGACGCTTCAGTGAGCTCGATTATGGTGAGCAGGACGTTGTTGCCCCGTTGTCGCCTGAGGGTGACCATAGCGACGACCTAGACCTCTGAGAGGTCATCCACTACCACGTGGAGGACTCTGCCCTCCCTATAGCCGAGTGCCTCCAGCTTGCCCTCTCCATCCTCCCCCGGGCACGCAGCCACTCTGGTCACGCTGCCGCGTCACCCCCCGAGGTCCTTCAACAGGACCATTCTTAGGGCTTTGTCCCTCCTCGTGGTGTCCTTTCAGCTAAGGAGCGTGCGACCATTTTGGGCCGGCGTGGGTGTTTGCGCTGCCGCCAGGACGGTCATACCTCCTCACGGTGCCCTTACACCGCCACCCTCGACCGCCACTATTCTGAGCTCTCTCTCTAGCGTCGTGTTGAGTCCCCCCGGGGCGCCTCGCATCCCCGCGGCGCCTCTTAGCCACGGTGCAAGGTACACCTGCGCCCTCCTCGTTGGTCGTCTTCCCAGCATCTCCGTCGTGGTTTGCCCCTCTTGCTACTGGAGCTGAGGTATCGCACGACCGACAGAGTGTACTCATCCCTCTATCGCAATACCGTTTGCGCCTCCGCAGACCACCGTCTCCCCTCCTACCTCTCTACGACTACCAACGCGTCGAGCCACTCGCTCAACCCGTTGCAGCGAGTAGCTTGCGACTCGCGAGGACGTTGTGTCCTCTCTTCTAGACTTGAGCATACTCCAGGCTCGTCAGGAGCGACTCACCCTCCATGTCGCTGCCCTGTGTCGCCTTTTCACCATCCTCTCTGACCCTAATCGCACCCTTCCGATCATTCCTGTACGACTCGGGACCTCCACGAGGGTGTACTCAGCGTTGTGGGATTCCGGTTCTCAGGGCGACTTCATTCCCACCTGTGGTGAAAGAAGTCCGCTTACCAACGACAGGGTCCCCAACTCCCGTCTCCGTCACCCTAGGGGATGACAAGACCCAACGCTTCTTCGATCACACAGTCACCGACCTCCCTTTCTTCCTCACTCTCGAGCCGACTGATCGTACCCCCACATCTCGTCGCCACCTCTCCTCTCCATATTTCGATGTGATGGAGACGGGGTCTTATTTCATTTGCGGTACTCCGTGGTCTCGTGGATTCCGCAGCATTGAGGCCGATTGGGCGACCAACACTCTCGTTCTCAAAACGAAGTGTGGACAGACGTATCGCATACCTTTCATAGGTACCACCGCGACACCACGCCCTGACTCTCCTCCCCCAGAGCCTTCCGTGCCCACACCATCTCCTACTTTCACCGTCACCTCGCCTCGGCAGTTCGCACACTTCATCTGACAGGACGGCGTCACCGTTTTTACGGTGAACATTACGGATCTCTTGCACTATGATCCACCCTGTCCAGACGCCGAGCTCATCTCTCTGGAGCCAGATCCTCCTTCTATCTTTATGGCTTGCATCTCTACTTCCCTCCCTCCGCCGTCCGTCGAGTCCACCTCGTCGTCGCTCGCTCACGCTGACGTTGAGGAATTTGCAAGCTATACGGTCGACCTGGAGCCGGCACTTCGTGACCTCATTCGAGAAACTCAGTACTACGACGTTTTCCCATCGCTATTCTCGTACGCCGGCACCTCACCGATGTGCGACATCGAGCATTCCATCCAGCTTGTGTTTGACTATCGTATTCACCACCAGGCACCCTACAGACTCTCGATCCCCGAGGCCACCGAACTCAAGCGTCAGCTTGAGGAGCTTCTGAGATTGGGTTTTATTAAACCCAGCAACTCCCCGTGGGGTGCACCCGTCGTCTTTGCTCGCAAAGCGGATGAAACTTTTCGCCTCTGCATCGATTATCACGGGCTCAACCGCTACATGGTTAAGAACAACTACCCCATGCCTCATTCCGACGAGCTGTTCGACCGCCTAGTAGGCAACCGCTTCTTTACGATCATTGATCTTTGTAGCGGTTGTCATCAGATCCGTGTCGCTGCAACGGACCAGCCGAAGACAGCGTTCCGATCACGCTTCGGCCACTATGAGTTTACAGTGATGTCATTCGGCCTCACCAACGCACCCGCTACCTTCCAGAGGGCGATGAACGACATTTTCAGGGACATCCTGGAGCAGTACATTCTCGCCTACCTCGACGATATCCTGATCTACAGTCGTACCCTTGAGGAGCATCTCAGACACCTCTGCGGCTTCCTTAACCGCTTGCGCAGATATGGCTTCTACGCCAAGTTGAGCAAGTGCCGCTTTGCCTAGCACAAGTGAATTTCTTAGGACACTGCGTGTCTGACCAGGGTCTTCACATCGACGATTCGAAGATCACGGCTATTGCAAAGTGGCCCGCCCCCACATCCGCCAAGCAGCTTCGCAGCTTTTTTGGTCTCACTATCTGCTATAGTTATTTCATATAGGAATACGATACGTATTCCTACGTCCTTACCTCCACGTTCCTCTGGAAGAACCCGCCATGGGTTTGAACACCCCTCCACGAGGACGCCTTCTGCGGCCTCAAGAAGCCGGTGACATGTAACGGTGTTTTCGTTATGAGTGAAATTGTTTTCATGTTCACTTTTTTTTTTAACTGTAAAATGGCAGAACGAAATGAGGAAATTATAGACGAAATAACGACAAAGCAAAATAACGACAAAGCAAAATAACGACAAAGCAAAATAACAACAAATCGAAATAACGACAAAGCAAAATAAGGACGAAACAATGTTCATAGCAATGCAAAGTTGAAGGAACGACAAAACAATGAGGAAAAATTAATGTGACAGTCATGCTCTCGTGTTGCCCGTGCTCAAAATATAATACAATGTCAAGTTTTTACCTCGAATGTTTACAGTTTGTAAACATGTCAATCTTATCAACAAAATATTAACTACGGACTGTAGCTTTAGTCGCACCTCAGTGACTTTCGTATCTAACCATGGACAAAATGTCAAATGCTATTCTAAGCCTCATATCAGAAATGTTGGTTTGTGAGAAACCAAATGGAGGGAAGTGACCTCTTGCAAGCAAAGATGCAAAACCTAACATAAAAACACCACAACTACAAGGATCCTCTTGACCAGGAATCCCATCCACTGATGTATCAAAGGAGGATGTAGGCCCGTCCACATAATATCTTTCGTGAAGATTGTGCCGATGAAACTCCGTTTCGAAAAAATCTTCCAAACGTCCTCGACGACGACCATGATGTCTTCCTTTCCCACCTTCCAGCTCCCCTTGTAATCGACAATGCTGTATGCTTCATTGTCTTCGCTGCTGCTTGTAATCATGTCAAGGAATCTGGAACGAAGGGTCATGCACTGCATACAAACACACATATAAACAACAATGGAACGACGAAGACTTCATACAAAAACAAACTTTTCGTTATGTGATGTACGACGTAGACCCGAGTTCATGTTTTTGGTTGTCTATCTGTTTCGCTATCAGAGTTGTCATCCACAATAGATAAACTGCAACCTTCACGATGCAATTTCTTCCCTTCCCTGAGGCTTATTCCAACAACTTTAAACATCCTTAGGGCAGCTGGCTTCATAGATGAAAATGTCATGGGTGTAAGTCTTTTTCTCTCTTTTTGGGGCAATAACGGCAAAGCCGACAAGGCTTGCAAACCACGACGAATAATATTCTTCTCACTCTGCCTTTGCGAATGTACGTGCGTCGTTTTTCACAGTTCTTTTCGTCGCCCTGCAGGTTCAGCAATATAAAACGACAATGATTGACAAGACAAAACATTATGAGTTTAAGTTCAATTTTTCACATAATTGCAAATAAGAGATACACAATATTCTACTTCATTTCTTTTCATGACCGAGAGCACGGTTGCAAACTTAGGCAAAAAATTAGTTCCTATGAGATGAGTGCATGTACCCATTAATTCGCATACAGTATTAGATATTCCCTTAGAGATAAGTACGTGCTCACCTCGGTGGCTCACTAACACTTTGTCTTCAACACGATCTTTCATCACACCATGTGATGGTGTAAAAGGAGATTCGTCGATAAATATCACGAGGTTAGCAGACTGTTGTGCTTCTGATTTTGCAACCATAAGTTCAGGCTGTACAAGCGTATGTTGCTCCCGTGTACTTAGTACTATATGTCCTTCATCCTCTTCGATGRCCTGTWYATTGGCAGTTTCGTTTGCACCTGCAGTCGCGCTTTCATTCTTCATGTCCAGAGAGACTTCATGTTCATCTTTCTCAGCTGGCATATCCAATGGCATCTCTAATTCTGCAAGTGCACCAGTATTATCCACTTGCACAGTAACACTCTCGCTCGCCAACACAGTGGTCGCCCAAACTTGGTCATACGGAAGGACGTCCTCGACACATTTCGACATTTCTTTATGACTTACGCCCTTGACGCTTGCACCGCCGCTTCCTCCCAAATCCTGGCCACTTGCATCGCCTCTCGATCCCCTGCCATGTGCGCTGCCGCTTGGTCCTAATCCCATAGGCGAACCCGATCCCCTGCAATGTGCACCGCTGCTTTGTCCTAATCCCAGAGGCGAACTCGATCCCTTGTCATGTGCACCGCCGCTTGGTCTTGATACCTTTCCCTCTGTTGCTTGATGCCCTTGACACATTTCGTGTTTTTGCAGTTGACCATGACTTATTGGCTTTCCACTTGCACCGACGCTCGGTCCCAGGCCCTTGCCACTGACACCGCCCCGTGGTTCCGATCCCTTGCCATGTTCACCACCACTTGATCTTGTTCCCTTGCCAAGCGCACCGCCGCCTGATCCTGATCCCTTGCCACTCTCATCGCCGCTCGCTCCTTTCCTTTCCCCAACTTTGTCTTCAAGTTCCTCCTCGATACGCCAGTTATATCCAAAAGCTGGACTTGTTTCTCGATCATAGAACTCTTCCAGATACTCAAGCCATCGAGATATTTTGAACTCCTCAAAGATTTCTTCTGTCCTTGCATCCAGTCTTGATTGAGAAACCTTCGGATTAAGTCGCAGTAGTCGCTTGCCAATCTCATTTTTGGCGTGTGCGACAAACTTGGATCGTGACATGCGTCTGTGGAGGCAAAATTGACACTCCCCTTCTTCTTTTATAGCCATTACCCAGTTCCCTCTCGCCAATGCAGGTTGGAAGTGGTGGGGGTGCCATATAATGTGATGACCCCATACTTTGTCAGGCATCACCGTATAATCGTCCCGCCACACAATAGGTCCAGGAAGCCGTGCAATGTCCGGAGGGATGATGTCTTCAATCTCGTACTCCAAAGGCTCAGACGGAGGTGGTTAAGGAGTTTGAGAGCGTAGCAATTCCAAAACAGTAGTTGGGCTATGTGCACGTGCTGACAGACTTGCCATAACCTCTGGGGAGAGAATTGCCTGCAGCCTCGGATCATCCCGAACTGCGCCGGAAGATAGCGCTGTTGTGTTGCCCGCCATGTAACTGGTCCGTTGAAACTGGTCCGTTGAAACAGGTCCGTTGTAACTGCCATACTCGAAGCCCCCCCAGAACCGGACGATGTGTCCAGCGCACCCATCTTCTGCGAAGCCGAGCTACAAGCTTTTTGCCTCTCATCTGCCAAAACCGCTTGCAAAGTACCATCTTCACTTTCTTCCTCTGAGTCCTCAGCATCGAAGCCTTCCCTAAAACAAGTTGCAGAAGCTGCGATTGTAAACGTCTCGATTTGTTCGTCGAAGTACATCATCTCCAAACGGTCTAGAAATGCAACTTCCGTCTCCGCCGGTGCCTTATGATACCCCCTCAGAAGTGATTCCAGTTTTCGCCTTCTGACCAGGGTTGTCGAGCCCCGGCCCCGGGGCCCCGACGAGGGTCCCGGGGGCCGGGGGTCCGCACCCCTGGCCCCAGCAAAAAAAGTAAGTAAAAAAAAAAAAAAATACAGGGGGGTGCGCAGCCGCAGCCTGCACCCCCTGGGCCAAACTGCAATGTTGCAGTTTTGGCCCGACCTCGGGCCCCCCCCGGGGCTACACCCCACCCTTATGAGCCCGGGGTAGCGCGGGCGCGGGGCCGGGGGTGGGGCTCAGCGGGGTGCGGGGCCGGGGTTGGCTGGCAGCGGGGGCGGGGGTGCGGGGTCGGGCA